GGTTCAGTTAGGTTGGATATATAGAGCCTCCACTGTGGAGCTGCGCAATCAGTCCATGGAGCGGTTGCTGCCAGATGAGTGGCAATGGGGGGCGCTGCCGGAGGAGTCGGAGTCGGAGGCTCTGGCTCGGGGCAGCGGCAGCAGTGCCTGCTTCGAGTCCTACAAGCAGCTTTTTGATTGGCCAGCTTTGTTCTTGGACAAGTTGAGTGATGACCAGATAGCAGAGCTTGTGCGGAAGGCTCGCAATGGCATCTGCCTTGTCACCGATTACTCCGGTCTTGGGTCGCCAGAAACTGCTTTGCATTTCCTTTTCCAGGCCTTGGGAACGAGGCTTGGTGATCCTGACATGCCACAGAAGCTTCGCTTGATGCGGGCATCAGACTGCGATGTGCACTGCAGACGCATTCTGCTGGGGCAGCCAGCCGGGGTTGGAGAACCTGGTGCGTGTTGTGTGCTGGGGGACATGCTAGACAGATGCCCTTCTGAGTTGGTGACCGAGTGTGAAGCGCTGCTGCAGGACTGCAGAGGACAAGCCAAGGAGGCCATTGAAACCGATGGGCTGCGACCAGAAGAGGCCTGTCGATCGTGGGGCCGCAAATTTGTGGACCAGGCAATCCAGATTATGTCCAAGAATTCACAGACGAAGAATCCATGGTGTTACAGGCACCTGCAGAGTCAGTGTGCGTGTAACTCTGCTGTGCCAGAAGAGATGTTGAGCATGGCGGTGGCAGGTGTCACATGTGTGGACTGGTCAGCAATCGGCCTGAAGGGCGGCTGGCTTGGCGACAGCGCCATTGCTTTTTTGGCTTGGGCCAGAGAGAGGCATCTTTACCAGGAGCGGATTATCCTTATCGAGTGCACACCAGCCATTGATGTTGCTACAATCCAAGAGATTTTCTTCGAGTACACGATGGTGGTGTTCGACATATGTCCTTCAATGCTTGGTATCCCAGTGCATCGTCGTCGCGCGTACATGATTCTTCTGCGCAGTTCAGATCTGGCATGGCACACTGATTGTGCCCAAGACCCTGCGACGGCATGGAGAAAGCTTTTTTGTCAGAAGACTTGGATCGACTGCGCTGAGTTTGGGTCAGCGCCGACAGAGTTGGTGGAGCAGCAGGCCAGGATTCTGGCATTGGCGAGAGGCTTCCCTGCTACCTCAGCGAGTGGATCAGCTTGGAAGCCAAAAGCTCTGCTTTCATCTGCAGTGCGCGACCGCATTCGGGACTGGGAAGGTTTGGTGCGTATGCAGCTTTCCCTACAGCCGGGTCAGGTGGCATCTTGCATCATGAACTCCACTCAAAACCCCGAGCGCTGCCCCATTACAAAGCTGTGTCCTACCTTGCTAACCAAAAGCCGACTTTGGAGCATGCGCCACCAGCGACACCTGTTGCTTGCGGAGATGTGTGAGATCCAAGGGTTTGCGTGTCTGACAAGCAGCCAGTACCCCTGCCCGTTCAGGGCAGAAGTTTTGGAGTCCGACTTGGGCAAGAAAGGTGCCATCCCTGATGGCGCCATGAGAAGAATGATTGGCAACGGTATGCACATGCACTGCATCGGTGCCATGATTCTTTTTGCTTTGAGCTGCACTACAAAGGTTCAGGCGGTTCAGACTCAGGTTCCAGTTCCAGCTGCAGTCCAGATCAAGGAGGAACCGTCGGAATCGTCGGAATCGGA